GGCAGGTGCATTCATATAAATCAAATCACCATAGTCCAGCACAGGTAAAAAGGTCACAGTGACTAGCCTTTTCCTGGCCTCAAGCGAGAAATGGTAAATGGTAAATGATGAACTGTACTTACAGTATATAGCGCTTTATCCAGTCTTTAAGACCCCTAAAAGCGCTTTACATACCACATGTCATTCACCCATTCACACCCATTCATACAGAGCAGTGTACCTTACTTAGTCTAGGACCTAACATTCACACACATTCACACACCGTTGGCCATGCCATCGGGAGCAACTCAGGGTTAAGTATCTTGCCCAAGGATACATCGACATGTTGACTGCATGGGCTGGGATCAAACCCACAACCTTCTGGTTGAAAGACGACCACACTCCCTCACAGCCACAGTCGCCCTGTGAAACAGGACTTGTTCCTTTAGAAGAAACCTACTCTGTTTTTTAAGCAGGTTATTGACATGACGTTTAAAAGTGAGACAATCATCAAGCCAGATACCAAGGTATTTGTAACAGGTAACCACTTCAAGTTTTATTCCTTGCGTAGTTACAATATCTACAACAGGCTCTGGTGTCTTTTTAGCTTTTGAAAAGAGCATTACCTTGGTTTTATCAACATTTAAAAGAAGCTTTAGTTCAGAGAGCTGAGTCTGAATAATGTTAAAAACAGCTTGCAATTCAACAACAGCCTCCTTAATGGAGGGACCTGCACAGTACATCACGGTATCGTCCGCATAAAAATGTAAGGTTGCTCCATCGACATTTTCACCTAAACTATTGATGTAGATGGAGAATAAAAGTGGACTTAAAATAGAACCTTGAGGAACACCATTAGTAATGTTTAACCACTCAGAAGACAGCCCATCAAAATGAACAGATTGGGACCTTTCAGAGAGGTAGTTCACAAACCACCCCACTGCATGGCTGGATATGCCAATACTGAGTAGCCTCTGCTTTAAGATGCGATGATCGACGTTATCAAACGCTTTGGACAGGTCAATAAATAGAGCTGCACAACTCTGCTTATTATCTAAAATACTCGCCACATCTTTCACCACTTTCATTGTGGCAGTGATGGTGCTACAGTATGTTGCTTTCTGAAGCCTGACTGATGTTTAGACAGGATGTCATTTGTACATTAAAAACACCTTTAACTGTTCACTCACTAGGCGTTCAAGAACCTTAGCCAGAACTGATAATTTAGAGATGGGCCTATAATTATTTAATAAAGTGGCCTCCCCACCTTTTAGTAGAGGCAGGACATAAGCTGACTTCCACAATTTTGGAATTGTGTTTGTGCTGAGGGAGAGGTTAAAAAGAGTAGTGAGAGGTGGAGCAATAAAATCTGCAGCTATCTTTAAAAAGAAAGGTTCTACGTTGTCCGGGCCAGCCGGTTTCTTAGGATCTAACTTGGTTAAAGCTTCACGAACAACATCAACAGTAAAAGGAGTAAAACTAAAAGGGTTTTCCAAAACACGTTTTTCAGAGTCACAGACTGTGGTTTTCACAGAAGCAGAGTTAGTGACAGAATCAAACAGAGAGCCACAGGACACAAAATGCTCATTAAAACAATTTAACATAGTGGCCCTGTCCGATATAGTGCCAGATGCTGTGGTAATGCATTATATTTGTACGTTTGATTTGTGCATGTGTTTGGCCGTATATATGTGTTCCTGTTTTTATTTGTCATCAATGGGCATGTTTTGTTGTTTTTTAAATGTAACTGCATGTTTTTAGGGGACCCTATGATGGAGTTATTAAATGCATGATGGAGAAATACACTGTTTAGTAAAGATTAACTAAATGTAATGTTGATTTAAGATGTCCGGTTACATTGACAATCCCTTGGAGCTTGAGTTTTCTACTATTAGCACTGAGCTGCTCCATTAGAGCTACAGTGCCTTCTAAGGAGTAACATTACCAATACATTGAAATGTGTTTTATGCTCAATAGCCATGGTGTCCAATCAAAGACAAACAATTCATTATTAATTGATAATCATAATACCGAATCCACACACTGAGAGGATAATTAATACACCGGACGTCTGCAGTTGTGTTAAGTTAGCTAGCTGAAATATTACAGGAAATAAGAGAGTTTTGTCTTTAAATTCAATCATAAATATTCTAAAAGAAAAGGCATTCATGCTGGGCCGGTTTTTGGCATAGGCCTAAGGCGCCAGATCTGGGGGGGCGCTGCGCTGGTAGTTCTGGGAGGGGAAAAAAATAGTTTGGAACGTTGGTGCTAATCCTAATTTTCGGCCTTGATGTAACAACATTCATAATTAAGTCAAGGTAACACCCTTTTCACCACGGTTACACTTTTCATTTGCCCTGTACGATGGGCGCTGTAAGTGATGAAAGTGGGAGATGTTGACTTATCAGGCACCCGCAACTCACAAAGCCAAAGTGCGAGCGAGCAAGAGAGAGAGAGAGAGAGAGAGAGAGAGAGAGAGAGGGCGCGCATCGGTACAGCGGATTGTTGTTGGATTGAGGCTGATAACTACAGCTCAGTGAGGTAAAGGACTCTGAGGGTTANATGCCGGGAGTCTCAAGCTAAATCCCAATACACAACACAGAATGGTATTTTAATCTATAATGCCTTTAAAGGGGCCCTGTTGTGATGTTTGGGTATAAAGGTTTTGGTGCATGTAAATGGTCTGCAAAGGCTAAAATCCCTAAGTTCCCTCCAAAGGGAGTTTTTGTCCCACACACTCCACCCCTGCCTGACACGCTTCCATTGGACTCTTTCATACTGACATCATTACGAACACTCACCCTTCTATTGGCTAACGTTCAAACACTGACATGATAGGCTAAGGGGCGGGACATCTCTAATCATTTTACTAATCACCACAGAGCTGTCCAGACAACCAATCAGAGCAGACTGGGCTCTGGTTTCAGACAGAGGGTAAGAAGAGGTGCTGCAGCACAGGCAGCATGAGAAAAATAAAGAGTTGTCTGAACATTAAAGCTTGGAGACATGTCAAAGAAGAGGCACAACATACAAATATGAAACTTTGAAAATGTGCATAATAGGGCCTCTTTAATTTGGAATGGTATTTTAATTTATTTTTGCCTTTTAAGTAATATGGCACATAATGGAATTTGAATATTCTACTAGTCCAAATCAATATCGATTATTTGTGAAGCCCTAGTTGAAGACGAAGAGACAATTAAGATTACATAGAAAACTGTTCACATAAAGATTTCTAGCAGCTGCAGTTACATATACATAGTGACTCATATGAACACATTTTTAAAGTGATACCAACAAACAAATATTAAGAGAGGATACAGAAATGTAAATAAGTGCAGCCCACTCACCTGCAGTCATGATTCCTGTAGAGGACACAGGCACGACAGTGATGTTCTGGGTGTGTGCCTGGTGCTGGTGTCCGCCCAGCGCACTCATCCCAAGGCTGCCACCACCTCCCCCTGCTGCTCCGCCACCTCCTTCCTGTTTGGGGACCAACCGCACCCCGGACCCTGCGTCCACTAAGCCCGGGGTGGCAAGCACCGCCGTGGGGTAGTGGGGGGAGGAGGTGGAGGTGGCAGAAGTGTGTTGGAAGGAGGGCGCATTGGCCTTCTCATGACCCAGCTGCTCCTTCGCCTTGTTCAGGAACATGGCGTTCTCGATCTAGAGAGGAATGAGTAGAGGGGCGGGTTGGGGGTAAGAGGTAGAAAAGGAGGATGGGAAGAAAGTAAAGCAGTGTGGGAGGGGTGAGGAAGTAAGAACAGGTAGGAAAATGAAGAGTTACATTCCATGGGAGATGAGAAAGACCGGTGAGGAGTGATAAGAGGTGAGGAAAAGAAGGGGCCATGTGTATGAAGACGGGAGGTCAGGCATAATCAAATGAGATGAAATGGACATGGGAAAGGACAGAAGAGGAGGAGGAAAGGATGGAAGGGAAAACACAAGGATGGAGGAGGAGAAGAGGATGGGGAAACAGTAGCAAAAGGAGGTGATATAGATAGCAAGGAAAAAGGGTGAGGTAATAAAGGTACAACAACAAAAATGGGTGATGGTGGAACAACGAAAGAAAGATGAGAAAAGGGAAGGAAGCAGAGCAGGTGGATAATGAGGAAATAATAATGAGTTGGATCCATGTGTGGAGAAGACAGTTTGGAGAAGAAGTCAATGGGAGAGAAGATTGAACAAAGGTAATGTGAGGTGCCAAAAGTAAACGAAACAAGGAACAAAGAGAGGATGAAGAGGTGAGGACAGGAGTGATCAAGTGAACCCTTCACATATCAAGAATATTCAAACAGCTTTTCTGTGAGACTAAACCAACTTCACCAACTAGGCGAGCTTTATTAGGTGGTGTTATTCACTAAATGTTTAGGGTCAAATCATTGTTTGGTGTCATGTAATGTTTAAAGAATTTCCACAAATGTCATAATTGTTTGTTTTGATAGCACATACCACCATGCTATAATGTGTATTTCAGGACAATAAGGTTGTCTCTACCTGTCCTTGTACAGTGTGGACGGGAGACCAAAAGTATGATGAGTTGAAATGGGAATCGTCCATTATTTCTGTAATTAAAAAGCAACACACTTAGAAAACACCTGTCCTCCTCCTCTTCCTCCTTCTACCTATGCTTCTGTTTTTTTCGCGTGAAACGAGACCATGCATTGCTGCATTTCAATCATCTTGGTTTGTTTCCTTTTCATAAATCCTCTCCTTCTTTGGATGACTCACCGAACAACTTTCAGGGTCAGTGTGGAGTACTCAGACTAGTCATCAGATACAACATTTGTGTTGTGGCTGTTAAATCAGCCACTTTGATATGCAAGCAATTATTGTTTATAGGGATCCCAGCTAAACGTGTAAGATGGCTGTTACACAACTGAATGCTAAAGGGAAATGCTTTTAGGATAACGCTGTTAGATGTATTGCTTTTGTGAAATATTTAATCAGGTTAACAGAGAAGAGGATGTGAAAGGAATCAGGCAAAGATGTTCAACCGCGCAGGGATGGATATATACAAAAAAAAATAAACATCTACAGGAGGATAGAAGAGGCAAGAGTTGAGAAAGAATTAACAATAATCAGTCTTTGAGGTTTTTGATAATGTTCTGCAACACAGTCCATGCACTTCCTCACTAGTTTCTTACACAGTTTGCATTGCTAATAACACATAACACAATATTAGAGTGGTTGCTTCATCAGTGTTAATGTGTCTAGTTTTGGAATGCAACCCAATGCTGTGCCAAAATGTTATAACCATTTATTGACAGAAAAAGGTAACAGAGAGGCTTGTTCTTCCAAACTAGATGCTCTTACATTATGTGTTGAAAGTGTCATCCCTTCTAAGAGTGCAAATGTTTTTTTGAGACAAAACGGAGTGTTTGAAAGACTACTGTCTATCTTTTCATTATCAAACCTCTGATCTTCTGTTTCCCGATCATCTCCCACTGACACATAGGCAACATGTTTTCTGTAGCACAAGGAAGGAAGTTTCATAGTTTCATTGTTCTATTTTAGCATGCATTTGCACTTTATTTCCACATACTTTGCTAGTGTTACAGACCAATAGTTAAAGAAGAAGTTCTGAGGTAGGATTTTCTGTATGCAGGTGAAGATTGTGAATGCCATGCATAGCCATTGTGCTAACATGCCAAGAAAAGCAAGCGTGTAATAACATGTTAGTAAAGCTGAACTGATATTTAAATGTCTAACTTTTAACAATAACTTTTATCTGTTAGGACATTGAAGGGAGCATAGGCCCATGACAATTACACTTTTAACATAACAACGTTATAGACTAATAAAATGAACTCTGAAACACCTGAGGTAACAGTATAATACATGCAAAACATAACTCAATGCATGTTTTAGGTTGTCTTCATGAGCCCTTTCTCCCCTCCCCAGATGCACAACCTTTACATAAATAATATGGCAAGCTTTAAGGAAAATTAAATGAGTTCCAACAGGGTGTAGTTAATTTACATAACATCATAAGTGTAATACAAAGTCAATGTTTCAGTGCTCTGAGAGCCATGTTTGATGAGGGGCACTAGCTGGCTACACAACTGCTAGCTTGCGTTAGCAGTGATAGAGGAAATCATGTAAATACGAATTTGTCATAACACGGTTAAACGTGGGAACCCTTTGCGAAGCACCCAGCATAGATGAGTCACACTGCAGCTAACCAGCTGCCAAAGGCGTAATGAGCTATCTGGGTTATAAACAAACATGGCGTTAGCTGGTTAACGCAACAAGACAAGGGGTGCTAGCTAACTCGCCTCCATTAATGTTCTGCTTTTGTTCGCTGGCTTGCTTTGCAACAAGGAGGCCTGTATAATCATATGCTTAACTAGCTTGCTGCTAAGTAAACACAAACACTCTTCCTCTCTACGCCTCCATTCCTCACTCTCTGCTCATCTCGCTCAGAGAAAAGAAAAAAAGAGAAAAAAAGTCTCGAATAAAAAAAAAAACAAGAGTGAAAAAAAACGCCGTCGACTCTGTAGGAGACGCAGCTTCATGCAGACTTCCGGCGGTCGGGACGAAGGCGCTCTCAGACACACTGAAAATAACAGTTCATTAACAGCCGACTAATAACTCCAGTGTTAATTACCGGTCGAATGGATTCCCCTGCAACCCCCCCGGAGCCTCCTCGGGTCGGGACAGTTGGGAAACTTTGTCCAAATCCGCCCCTCAAATCCCTTCACATATGCCTTTTTTTCTTCGCTTTTTCCCTTTTTTCCCCTCCAGCTCTCTTCAGCAGTGTCAAGTAAATCCGATGTAAACAGTGGCGTTTCCGGTCACAACTTTAAAAAATAAAACCCATAATGATTAACAACCATTGCGTTAACCAAAAGCCAAGATGATAAGTGGCTTGGAAAATTCAAATTAAATGTTAAGAAAATGTCTCATTAATTTCAGATACTAATTCGTAATTTGAGGAAAAGTTTGTTTTGGTAATGAATTTTTATTAATATTAATTGGCTTCCATATTATTATTATAAGTGGACAATTTAATGAAAGCATACCATGAACTGTACTCTTTTGAGTAAATTCATATATTTATATTTAATAGACTTCCTATTCAGCAGTACACTCTCCATATATAATGTGTTGGTTCCACTTACTTTTTTCTTTCTTTTTGCACATGAATGCAGGGCCGGTTCTAGACATTTTGGTGCCCTAGGCGAGATTATGATTTAGTGCTTATTTTACCTAGTTAACATTTATTTATGCATATCTTTTTTATCTCTCCAGTTTTAAACGATATTTTTGGTTTACTGTCCTATAGTATACATTGGAATGAATTCAAACCTGTTTTTATTTATCCTAATAATTATAAAGTTGTGCCTTGGAAATATTTGTTTACATACATTGTGATAAAACCGTTTGAGACACACTGAGATAACTTAGACCACATGTGTCAAAGTCAAGGCCCGAGGGCCAAATCACGCCCGNTAATATACCATCTGACAAAGGCCTGTGCTATAATCAATTAACTGGCTATTCTTTATAATATACTCATTTATAACTTAACATCTCTGTCTCCTATTGATCTGAGTATATTATAAAGAATAGCCAGTTAATTGATTATAGCACAGGCCTTTGTCAGATGGTATATTAAGCTGTTTTTTTCCTGCTTCGAATAGTTCTCTCTTTTTTCCCCATACCTGTGTTTGCATCACTGATTTTTAAGCCTACACCCAACCCTGAATTAAACCTGCTTCCTTGTCTCTGTTACTGCTCACTTGTCCAGGTGTCGGATGTGTGCAGTGACGTTCTTCAGCAA